ATTGCTGGCACTTTTTAGAGAAATTCTTACTGCTCTCATTTGAAATGGATACCCTCACTGAGTGTTCACCAAATGAGGCAAGCTCCTGTTGCCAACACCAAAGAGGCTTTGTAGTTGTAACTTAAAATTGGCAATCCTTTTCAGCCATCAAATGAGACAGACTTGTCAAGTTTACACTTCTAGCTACACACTGAAGTAGAATAGTCAGAGAGTATAATGTAATTATTGACTTTTGGTTGAGATAATTTGTGTTCATAATTTCGGTGTTGTAACAATTTTAGGTTCATGATAAAAATAACAGAGAATGCACCAAAAATTTAACAAGCTAGGTAAATTTTTCCAAGTAGTAGATTTTTGAGTTTATATGGTTTTGTTTATATCTTTTATTGTGTAACATTAACTAATCTGTTTTCCTTAGGAGTCCTCTCATAACAAAGGATCCATCACATTAAGAATTAAACTCTAAATGAAGTAAATCTAGAGCCCTGTAAAATGATAGTAAAACTTCAATCAGCCAATAATTGCTAATATTAAATTTTCAAAGAAATAAAATTTCTTCTCAATAATGAAAATATTAATTCCATCAATGAAAAAAGTATATGATGCTAAATAAATTATTCAGTATCTATAGTATACTAGACACTGGAATTAGCATTGAGGAAAACATTTATGGAATATATATGGGAGAGAGAATTATAAAATTACCAAATAAACTATAATAAGTACTATAAAGAAAAAGTATGAAAATTACTACATAGTATTTTTAAAGCACATCTTAGATGGCCATGATTTTGTTGTGTTTGTGTCTGGGCTAGGGCCTTGGGCAGGGACAGTGTGGCCAGCATTAAGAAGAGACACAAATAAGAAGGCCAGAATACTTTTTTAGTTGTAGTAAAGAAATGAAACAAATGATTCATAGACTAATATCAGTTAAACTACTGTGTCTTTGGGAGACATTTCCTGCATAACAAATTGTGAAAACCTCAACAGATAGAATCCTAGCAATGAATAACTCTTGAGATAAAAGAACTTTAAAACTTGGGTTTAAAAAGAATAAAAGCAATATGTAATTAATACTTTCATTGAAAAACCTAATTGCTTTGTCTTATGTTAAATCACATAAATGACATGTGGGCTTTTTGTTTTTGGTTTTAGTTCTCACAAATACATAAAGTGTATAGTCTAAACCTTCATTTTTAACATGAACATGAAGATCCATCAAGGTCTGGTGAATTGCCCAGGATCACAAGACATATGAGGACAAAACTAGTGGCGCATGAGATTAAAAAATACCATTGAATTTTTTTTTTCAGCACTTTTGAGATTATCCAGTTGTTTTAACTTTTGACAGTTTGACTATGATGTGTCTAGATGTGGATGACTCTGTTTATCCTTTTTGGAGTTCAATGAGTCTCTTAAATGTGTAAGTTAATTTTTCCCATTAAATTTGGGGAGTGTTTAAGCCATCTTTTTTCCTTTCTCCTCTTGTTTGGACACTCCTATTATACATTGATGAGCATGATGGTGCTCTAAATTTCTCGAAGGCTTTGCTTATTTACCTATAAATCTGCCTTCCATATTCACTGTTCTTTTCTGCTTTTTCAAATACTCTGTTGAGCCCTTCCAGAAATTATTCATTCTAGTTATTAAATTTTTCAACTTTAGAATTTTCATTTGTAAATTTCCATCTCATTGTTGACCTTCTGTATTTGATGAAAAAATTGTTACCATACCTTCCTTTGCTTCTTTAAGCATGGTTTCCTTTAATTCTTTGAATATGTTTACAATGGTTGCTTTGACGTTTGGGCTGTTAAGTGCAACACTGAGAAACTTCTCCAGGCAGCTGGGGCTTGTGGTTGCTCTTTGCTTATTTATTTAGTGACTTGGTTGGAATACTTTTATTGAAGTCTATGCCTCCAATAGTGTAAATCCTCTGATGTACATCAGAGGGTACAACTTCGGGCATATACATAATCACTTTAATGTCACTGATTTTACCAGGCTTTTTGACTATCTCCTGATCTTGATTAAACTTTATTATGCCTCTGTTGGTATCACAGTTAGATATTAGGTTCCACTAATTGCCATCTGATTATTCTACTGTTTACAACAATACTTAAATCTATAAATTTTATGTATAATCTGATAAGATTAAATTTGACTTCTTTGCAGAGGTTGTTTTTGAAGCTATCTTTGCGGTCTGTTCCTACCTCAATAAGATAGCTGTCTCTATCTTTGGTTGTCACTGGCAAACTAGCTGCTTATGGGTTAGCTTGCCACTCTCTTGGAGCTATCACCCTCCTCTTAATAGCTTAGCAATAAAACCACCATTGTTTTAGAGAGCCACATTAGGTTGAAACTTCACTACTCTCCACATAAAGTTAGTTCTTTGAGGAGGGCTGCAGAGCTCCTGTTATGACTAACCTGCCTCTTCCATACACATCAGACAAAATCTGTCACTGCTGTGGAGCTTCTCCTGGAATGACACTTCTGTTTTATGAGAAAAGCACTGGGTACCAGCAGTAGCCTGGTCATCTTAGTTTGTGTCAAGATGAGCAAGCTGGGTTGAGGGCAGTCAAGGTCTTAGCATTCTTGGCCTGTTAGAACAACAAAGCCCTTGGGCAAGGTCTCTGCCCTATGAAAAGGGAGCTCCTAATGAGCTGTTGGCACTCATTTGGACTTCAGCATCTGCAATGCAGAGCTGAAGAGGATGGAGAAATAACTGACCATCTATCCTTCTCGTGGAGAGACAGTAGCCCTTGTCTAGAAGCTGGAAAAAGGAAGCCCCATCTTCTTGGCCACACTCAGCTGAACTGAAGTTCTATCATGCTGATCTGGGGGTGAGGGGAAGTAAAAATGGTTATGAATTAAGCACCACAAATGGATTTTATTGATATTTAATAGGTTTTCTTGAATAAACAGTTTTTCATTTATAGTCCTAAGGTTGTGGTATAACCTTAGGATAGCTTCCAGAGACTTTAAATGTGTTGTTTGTTAAAATACAGTGTTCATTAGTTACAGTTTTTCTATTGGGAATAGTTTTGTGGGGTTCTTTATGTCATCATTCCAGAAGTGATTCAGTATTTCTAAAGTATAGAGGTATCAGTGAGCCAGTATTATTATATAAATGAAGCATTAACTGTAGATATTCAAAAACTTTACTGAGTACTAAAAACCATGCATAGTACTACATAAGCAAATATATTTTCAGAAGATTTTTGTATTTGTTTTTCAACTTTTAATTAATAACTAACTTTATCTTAAAGAATGGAATTTTAACTCTTCACTATTTTTTAAATAAAAAATTTAATTATACACTAGATATCATTCAATCTGTCAAAATTGTTTCTAGAGTTCAATTTTAATTTCATAAATAAATTTTATAAGGTCTTTATATGTCAGCTTTTAGAATGTCTGATTAATTAAATCTTTTGAAAAATTCCTATTTTACTTTTTCTTCTCTTTCACATATATACACACCACCAATACCATTACCAAATAAGACATGTTCATCCAAACAGCTAGTACTGATATACATTTGATCACACAGAAACTGCAGAATGGAATCTGGATGTTCCTCCATGAAATTTACATTGACATTTACTCAAAATCAAATTATTACTAGGTATGTATAATTCTTTAAAAAAAGAATGCCATCCAGGCAATTTTATATAAATTACCTATATTCTATTTTTGATAATTGATTTTATTTTAGTAGATTTGAAAAGACCTAGGTAAGGCTCAAAATGTCTGCCAAAATACCACTCTTGGGGATATACCCAAAAGAATATGACACAGGTTACTCCAGAGGCACCTGCACACCCATGTTTATTGCGGCACTATTCACAATAGCCAAGTTAAGGAAACAGCCAAGATGCCCCACCACTGACGAATGAATTAAGAAAATGTGGTATCTATACACAATGGAATTTTATGCAGCCATGAAGAAGAACGAAATGTTATCATTTGCTGGTAAATGAATGGAATTGGAGAACATCATTCTGAGTGAGGTTAGCCTGGCCCAAAAGACCAAAAATCATATGTTCTCCCTCATATATGGACATTAGATCAAGGGCAAACACAACAATGGGATTGGACTTTGAGCACATGATAAAAGTGAGAGCACACAAGGGAGGGGTGAGGATAGGTAAGACACCTAAAAAATTAGCTAGCATTTGTTGCCCTTAACGCAGAGAAACTAAAGCAGATACCTTAAAAGCAACTGAGGCCAATAGGAAAAGGGGACCAGGAACTAGAGAAAAGGTGAGATCAAAAAGAATTAACCTAGAAGGTAACACCCACGCACAGGAAATCAATGTGAGTCAATGCCCTGTATAGCTATCCTTATCTCAACCAGCAAAAACCCTTGTTCCTTCCTATTATTGCTTATACTCTCTCTACAACAAATTAGAAATAAGGGCAAAATAGTTTCTGCTGGGTATTGAGGGGTGTGGGGGAGAGGGAGGGGGCGGAGTGGGTGGTAAGGGGGTGGGGGCAGGGGGGAGAAATGACCCAAGCCTTGTATGCACATATGAATAATAAAAGAGAAAAAAAAAGTCTGCCAAAACAGTATATAAAATGGCCAACCAGTAATCATAATACTACAAACTTATTTCAAAACACTTATTTATTTATTCAGTATTTTAATAAAAAAGCATCATGTAAAATGCTTTCTCTAAACATCTTGGGATGGCTCAGATATGAATTTGATAGGCCAGAAACAAAAGTAGAAAACTTACCTGCTAATGTCTCTAGGTTTTAGGATATATACCATATATGAAAAGGGAGAACAGTCCAAAAATTCATTTGGGAACTTTTATCCTCCAACCTTATTCTTCAGTGAGAATAAAATTTAACCTTATGCCAAACATAAGATGCTTAATCTGACAAACATGGATTGGGCTTCAGAAGGGTTTAGTTAGCAATAGAGCTATCTCTCCTAAAGTATCATAATTTAGGGAACTTAAAACAAAAACATACATCTCAATTTTTAATCTTACCTGATATAAATAATCTTCAAATACAAAATAATAATCATCATTGCTTGCTGTCAACTTCACATCCTGTAATTGAAAGTAAAGAGTGCTGAAAAGAACACAAATGAATGCTGTAGTCCTAAAGAATGTTTAGAAAGAATACTGCAATGAATTTATTACTTCATGTATGATTACCAAAACTTCTCATTACATTTTACCCCTGATATGTACTTACTTGACAAATCTATATAACACATTATTTGATCTCTAATTCCTAATTTCTAATGAAACTTTTAAAGGTTTCATTAATAACTATTAGATATTTCAATTTTATCTCCCTCAAATATGGTATTTATGTTTTCAAGTTGGAAAAGACAAGTGGATACATCATAACCAAGCAACCACCATAATAATCTGGCCCCAAATTATTGCTCCAAGTTCATTGTTCAAGTCCACAAACTTGCTCTTCCTTCAAAATACCAAATATCTTTCATGCCCTTGTGATTGCTCACTTGCAAGTCACCACCACCTTTTACTGGGAGGCTAGTAACATTGATTTTCTGCCTCATGAACTCAGTTTTTAAGGGATAGTTCATTGACTTCCCCTGGATAGAATTTTATTTTATTTATTTTATTTTTTCCTTTTTCTTTTATTATTCATATGTGCATACAAGGCTTGGTTCATTTCTCCCCCCTGCCCCCACCCCCTCCCTTACCACCCACTCCGCCCCCTCCCTCTCCCCCTCCCTCAATACCCAGCAGAAACTATTTTGCCCTTATTTCTAATTTTTTTGTAGAGAGAGTATAAGCAATAATAGGAAGGAACAAGGGTTTTTGCTGGTTGAGATAAGGATAGCTATACAGGGCATTGACTCACATTGATTTCCTGTGCGTGTGTGTTACCTTCTAGGTTAATTCTTCTTGAACTAACCTTTTCTCTAGTTCCTGTTCCCCTTTTCCTATTGGCCTCAGCTTTTAAGGTATCTGCTTTAGTTTCTCTGCGTTGAGGGCAACCAATGCTAGCTAATTTTTAGGTGTCTTACCTATCCTCACCCCTCCCTTAGTTCCTTCCTTTAAATATAACTGTATTCTTCTCTCCAAGCTGGAGACTAGTTTAAAATTTTCTTCTCTCCATACAAGACTTTATGCTCTTTAAGCCCCAATGTCTTGTGTTTTGTTTTGTTTTTAAATATAGTTAACACAAGTGCAATGCCTAGCACCTATTATGTAACCAGTATGTTTAATGAATGAATGAAAAATAATAATCATAAAATTATTAACAGAATTTAATTATAGCTTCCTGTGATGGAACACATCACTATATAGGTACCCCTCCCCAGTAACAAACAAACAAAAGCCTGAAAGAATAAACTAAGACATTTTTACTACCCATAGGATGCCTCTGAGTTGAAACCTCAGGCTTATGTGCTTCAGTGATAAAGAACATGGGCATTCCAAGAGATTTAACTAAGAGCTGAAATCTACTTCCGCTGCTCTGAACTATACAACTTTGGTTAATGATTCCAAACCTCAGTCTCTGATAAGGTTTGGATAAGTGGTCCCTAAAGGCTCATGTATTAAAGGCTTGGTCCCCAGGTCATAGTTCTGTTGGGCAGTATTAGCACCTTTAAGAGGCATGGCCTTGTGGAAGGAGGTCCAGTCATTCGGGGTGTTCCACTGATGGGGATATTGGGAACCTGGTCCCTTCCTGTCTCTCCATAAGGCAAATAACCTTGCTCCACCACTCCTGCCACAAGGAACTACTTCAGCCCAGGTCCAAAATCAACAAAGCCAACAAGAGACCATGGACTAAAAGAAACCATGAGTCAAAATAAACCTTCCACCTTAAAAGTGGATTATCTCAGGTATTTTGTCAGAGTAATGAAAAGCTGACTAAACTACCTACTTCAGAAAGTGTGAGTAAATGCTTAGGATAGTATCAGATACAAAGCAGGTACCCAAAAATTATTTTAAAAATTAACCAAAAGTCCTTTTACTTATAGTAATCTTCATCTGTTTATATGTATTTAAATATAGAACTTGAACCTTACTAGTATGAAAACATTCCAGACCTAAAGGATACCATACTGATGGGCTGGGATTAAGTATACAAATATCAGAAGCCAAATATATCTCACTGGTGAGTAAAATACATAGTAAAAATATGGGAAGAATTACAAAAAAAAAATTGTAGAAATCCATGATAGTATAGTTGAAACTTCCTATAATACCCAACAGGGCTTTTGAGCAAAGCAGCAATCAGGGGTAGATGGAATGAGTAATGAATGTCCCTGGAAGTGATAAATGTGTGCCAAGTCTGAAAAACTTGAAGCAACAGACTAAGGACAAAGAATAAGGAGGCCGGTCTTCTAAATTAGAAGGAAACACGGCAAAGGCAGAGATTGTGCATTCTCAACAGAGGAGGTGTTCATCTATGAGGATGAAAACTGGTTCTTGGGAACCAAAATGTTTTACATGTTACAATAGCATATGGCTCCAAAGCTCATCTTATCCAAAAAAATCTTGCTCTTTGTATTTAATTTTCATTAGAAATTAATTATCCTCCTCAGGGTGTGATAATGTGGAAAAGTTAAGACACACTCATATAAATTATCAGGTCATAGTAAATATTGGAAAACTGTAGGTGTGGATACAAAGGAAGTTGGGGAGGAGGGGAAATCCAGTTTAGTTAGAACCATTTAACTAATAATTTAGCTTAGAGAAGGTTTGATGATGTTCTGTATTTGGTTCTGCCCTGTATTACTCATTCCTTTAACCACTAAAGGAATTCTACCTTGTTTTCAGTTAGATTAAAATAAGTCTGTAAAAAGTAGGAGAATGATATCCATATAACATGGGCGTTGTGTTGTCTTAGATGGAATATTTCTTAAACATGGGCAGCCAGAGCAGCAAGTGTAGAATACAACCTTTAGCAGGAAAGGAAAAGTCTCAGATGCTGCATCACCATGAGCCCCATTTTCACTGGGGCTCCCTCTCCAGAGAGGCACCCCAGTCTGGCAACTCTTCAGGTGGGACACTGCTTGTGCCCATCTTTACAGTGCTCCCGTGGCCTAGATTGCTGCTTTTATTTCCATTTTAGCATTTCTATTTTATTACTTTTGTACATTTTAAATAACTCCTTGGAGAGGAAATTGCCTGAGCTGTCTGATTCTTCTCCTAACCCACCAATTATTGTTTTTGTTAGTATGCTGGTTACAAAGTTTCTAAGGTTTTGAGTGGTCTACTCCACCTATTTTTCCCATAAGTACTGTTATTTTTATGTTTGATCCTGCAGAATGGAAGTTTTTTGCCCAGGAAAAATGTATTTATCATTTAGAGTCTAAATGCTGGTCCCAGCTACTCTTGAGGTAGTTGTCAAGATTAATGATAATCTATATAAAATGTATGTAGCACCGTTAGGTACACAGTAAGCAGCCATCAGATGTTAGCAGCAATTGCTCTTAGTGGCCTGGGCCATCTTCTACTCAGACAAATTTTTGGGTCCTCAATGTGTAATCTTCTCCTTCCCACTTCTGAGAACGAGCAACAAGCATTCTACTCTTTGAATTTTCAAATTTAAAATATATGTCTTTTAAGCAGCCTAATTTTTAATCCAGAATTAGTCATATCCTATATCATGCTTAAAGTATCTACAACTTGACTCTTGATTGACAGATGCTCAGAGGCAAAACCTACATGCATCCCAATCACAAAGCAAAACCTGATGTATCCCTATCATAAAACTTGAGCTGTACTTGACTATGTATTCAGACACCAAAAGAAATTAAAAATGACTTCAATACAAAGACAATATACAAGTAAGCCTAAAGAATTATGAAATAAGACAAAATATTAGTCTTATTTTAATTTAATTTCATTTTTTTCCAAGTGATTTTTTAATTTCATTTGTGTGGCAAACTTAAATTTATAATGACAAGAAATGCTTATTCTCTTAACAAAAAAAGGGGAGGACCGAAACAATCATGAGGATAGCTTCACAGGAAAGAAGACAACATTAATACAGACTACAAACTTGGAACTACAACCTTAACTTTATATATACAATAATCACTTAAATAATTTTTTAAAATTTAATAGGTACCATTGTATATAGTACAGGTCCTGCATAATGAAATAAAACTCTCCATTTTAAATGATATCAATGAAATGGGAAAAAACTATGCATATTTTTACTTACTTTATATATTAAACTGTCCACCAAAAGGTCATGTTGTATCACATTGGTCTTAAGCTGCTCATAATACAAGACATCCTGAATTTAAAAGTAAAATGAATAAAAAGTTAAAGGTTATTAACATTCATAAGGGCAGATTCAAACTTTAATAAATAACAGTCATTAATTGCACTATAAACACTAAGAGGGTAGGACCTCTTTTACTTACTACTATAGCTCCATGGTTGACTAGCAGTAATAGATGTTCAAAACATGCCTATTCCCATCACTAAGATAACATTTAGCACTGGTGGGTATTTAATCCATACTAAATTAAGTATAACTTTAATAATAAACAGAGTACTTACTTATCAAGTAGGTACTAGGCATCATGTACTGTTTTACTCATTATACATGAGTTGACTCATTTAATCCCATACTAAGAGTGAAATCAGTAAGTGATTACTATTCCCATTTACATCTGAGTAGCTACAGCTGAGAGAGAAAATTAACTTGAAGGCAGCAAAGCTAGTAAGATTTGATTGCAGGAAATCTGATGCCAGAACCTGCAGAAACACCCAGAAAGATTACCCTATACTGCTTTTCTAATACCTACATTATTATAAAATAACCAGGTCAAATATAATAAACCACCTCTGGTAGTAAGAACAATTGTATAGCATATGAAATATGTCAGCTTTTTTGTATTAGGATATGATCTCATAATACCATAAAATCTGACTAATTTAATATAGAATAAGCAACAGAAAGAAGAGAAGAAAAAATGAAAAGGAGAGAATTAGAGAGGAAAGGATGGGGGGAGGGAGGGAAACAGAGAGAAGGGACTTGAGACTGTAATCAAGGTGAGCATCAAGTTAACAGCTGGTCAGGACATCAAGGATGAAGGAAGGGATCAAGTGGGTAGTAGCTGTGCTAAAGGGAGATGGAACGCCTTACTACTTCAGCTGACCTCTGTATTCCTCCGAATCCCTCCATTCATTTCTCAGGCACTTTAGCCCTGTCTCTGCCCTTATCTACAGGCTGCTTGGCTTTATAGTAAGCATGGATCCACAAACCTCTGTAGAAGACATTCCCTCAAACAAGAAGAGTTGTGGGATAGGATCGTCTGTGACAGGAGGAAGATTTATTGAACTCAGCTGCCTTAGCAGGGTAATACCTTACCCTGTGTTTCCTGAAATTTGATTTGGTTACATCTTAAGATGTTTAATTCACGGTTCCCTGGTTTAAGTCAAAGTGACTTTTGCATTGATAATCTGGGCTATTTTTAGTCACTTTAAATTTTATTTTTAAAAAACCATTAATTAGTTCTCATGATTTTTTTGGTTTTTTTAGTTGAAGAAATACTGTTTTACCTTTTTATTTACCTTTCATCGTATCTATTGATTCCTTCTCTCTGGCTAGAATGCAAGGTCCTTAATGGTGGACAACGACCTTATTCAAATACCAATTCTTGCCAACTGGCAAAAGGTTATCTCTTCTTAAAAATAAGATTAACTAATATATGACCACTAAAATAAGAAAAATAATCTACAGCTGAATAAAGAAAAAGTCATCATCTTTTCTCTTTCCATTCCGTCTTCCTTAAGTAGTAAGGTGATTGTTGTTTTGTACTGTTCTGTGCTATTTGCAGCATTATTCCACTTTTCTCTATGCTTATATAAATATATAATCATGCCTGGAAGTTTTAGTTGTTTTTTTTTAACATGAAATGGAATCATACTATAGTTATTATTCAGATTCTCTAACCTAATGCTGTATCATGGGTTGTGCCTCTATGTTAGCAAATGTACACCTAGTTCATTCTTTTTAATAGCTACATATACCTTAATATTTTTGAAGCTGTGATACAGATGTATCACAATTTTTTAAACCATTCCTCTATGCATGGAAACTCAGATTGTTTCTAGTTGTTTGTCCCTACACATAACACTTCAGTAAAAATCTATATGCAGTATGGTTTGTTTCTACAGGATTAGTGGTCAAAGGTAGGAAAGACTGTGTGTATCTTAAGTTGGTCTAACGAGTGCCTGACAACTTTCAAAAATAATGTGAATTCAAATCCCAGCGAACAACACTAGAGTACATGTTACCTATGTCCTCATCTCTACTAACTCTCTCAAATGTGAACAATGATCTCTCACTGTTGTGTGACTTTGCACTCTCCCAGCCAACATTAAAGTTGAAGATCCTCTCATATATTTCCTGCCATCTGGGCTTCCACTTGAGAGGTCCGTATTTCATAATATGTACCCGTCTTTCAATTAGATTATCTCTTCATAATTTGTTGGACTTTGTTTTCAAGGAGGATTAATCCTTTGTCATTTGTGTTGCAAATACTTTTTCTTCAAAATAACATGCTTGAATTTTGTTTATGGCATATATTGGCAATTCCTTAAAAGTTCTTTACGGGCTTGAGTTTTCTTACTTGTTTTAGGAAAGATGCCAGTACCACATGTTGATGCACATATTCTCCTAAAATTGCTAATTTTTTCATTTAAATATTTATAATCTACTTGGAACATACTCATATATCTGGTTATCAAAAGATTTTACTGTTTTCTTTCAGAAGAATAATCAATTATCATCATCATTTGTTTTAAAAAAACATGTATTACCAACTTGAAATAAAATGCTAGACTGGAATCACTTAACAGTTTACCACTCTTTTTTTTTTAATTGATTTGGTTATGTAGCAGAGAGGAGGACCAGAAAAAAAGCCAGACAGGCTGTGTTCTGATAATGAGACAGGGGGAAGGGATGGCAAAGCAGAGAGATAAAACTGAAAGAATTGAAACATGAAGAAAGTCACATAGCACTGGGGAAATGAAATAGCCAATGAAGTCACATGCAGCCATATGCAGGCTAAGCTTTGCTTTTGCTTCTGTAACCTGCTTGCAAGGGTATATAATGGGAGACCTCTTTGTTCTTGGAGCTCAGCCTTTAGACACAAGTCCACGAGGCAATTTTGCTTCCTGCTAAATTGTCTCAGTATTCTGTATCTCAGCTTGAGACTCCTGTAAAAGTTACTCTTAGACATTTAAGCTCCAAAGGAACTTTACAATAATTCTATACAGTTAAAAATAAAAGGGATTGCTTAAATATCTGTTTTGAAAAAACCTGTAAGTTTTGTGCTATCAAGGTATTTCACCCAAGACTATGATTCAGATCTTAGCTGTGTGACCCTAGGCAAATTAACAAGCTTTTCTAGGCCTCAGTAAAATGATAACAATAGCACCTTCTTTGTAGGGTTGATGTCAGGAATAAATAAATTAATATTAGTAATGTGCTCAGAATAGTGCCTGGTACAAGGTGAATGCTATATAAAGATAGATTACTGTTCTATATCTTTTACAAAGTATTATACTTTTTCTTATATGGACCTTGTGCTTTTCCTGCTAAATTTACTCTGCAGATGTTTTACTGTTCCTGCTATTATGAATGAAGTATTTTGTCACTTTTATATTTCTAATTTGCATTGATAGTGTAAAGAAAAGAGTGGGTTTTATATTTTTATTTTATACCCATGTGTCATACCAAAATCTTTTATTAGTTATAATAATGGGTTTTTATCTCTTGGGATGTTTGGGTATACAATCGTAATCGCTGGCACAGAGGATGACTGTGGCTCTTCTCGGCATAAACCAACACATTTGCATGTCTCACAGCATTAGCGAGGACCTCAAAACTATGATGAATAATAATAATCACAGTATCACGACCTCATTCCTAATTCCATGAAAAGAACTTCAGCATTTCTGCCTAGTTTGTACAAATGTTAGTTTTAAAAATATTCTTATTATGTTTCAGCAGTTCCATTTAATTGAAAGATTTGACTAGAAGTGGCCGTTGAATTTTATCAAGCCCACTGGACAGCCACTGACATTTTTTATCCTTTAATCTGCTGATGTATGTGGTGCCAAGGCCAATGGTTGTGACACCTGACACTCGAGTGCTATCAGTGCGTACTGAGCCAATTCAGCAGCTGGGCTAGGCTCCCTCTCCCTCAGTGGTTCTCTGGGCTGCATGCTTGGTCAAAGAGGATAACCTTCCCTGTTGAAGGGGACAACCCTTCAGTTGAGAATTATTATTTACATATTTTAATAAACTATTTTACATTTTATTCAAGGACTTTTATATTCCCTCTATAAAACACAGAAAAATAAAGTAAGTCCTGCAGGCATCTGAAAAAATATTGCTTAGAAAACTTTTGATTATTTTACCATTTTATTTTAATTTGTTATTTAAATTTTTTTGTTTTACATATGTACTGGCAAAAAACACTAAAATAAAAGCTGGTATGGTGGCTCACCCAGTTACTTGGGAGGTTGTGATCAGGAGGATTGCAGTTCAAGGCCAGCCTGGGCAAAAGGTTAGCAAGACCCCTTATCAACAAATAAGCTGGAATGGTGGCACATGTACCTAGCCCCAGCTACAAGGGAGGCACATGTTGGAGGATCATGGCCTGAAGCTGGCCTGAGCAAAAAATGCAAGACCCTCTCTGAAAAAATAACTAAAGCAAAAAGGACTGAGATGTGGCTTAAGTAGCAGAGTGCTTGTCTAGCAGGTGCAAAGCTCTGAACTCAAACCCTAGTACCAAAAGAAAGAAAGAAAAAGAAAGAAAGAGAAGTAAAAGCAATTAAAGGAAATATTTCTTGTAATATGTACTGAAAACATATTCATATCTGCATTATTACTTATGAATTATAAATGTCCACAGAGAATTTAATTTTAATTTCTATTCTAAATAACAATTTGTAATTGTATTTGTAATATTTTTATTACAAATTAATAACATGTTCTTCATGACCAGAACAAGAAAACTAATAAATATTTTAATAAGAGCAGTCATTAAAATACTAATTTTAGGATCAGATACTTACATAAAGAAATATATCTTTAAAATACTATGAATAGTATGGTGTACACATGCATGGAGTTATCACAATGGAACCCCCCTGTATTATTAATGTATGCTAATTAAAAATAAAATTTAAAAAAATCAAATAAATAAAAAATAAAATACTATGAATAAATTTTTTTAAAACCTGAAGAAAAATTTTATTGGTCCTATTGTTCAA